CACCTTCGCCGCAAAGCAGGGACACGGGAACGCTTTCGCATACATCCGGGGTTAGAAACCAGCGCCGGCCATCTCATGGCAGCCCTTTCCTTCACCCCTTCTCGGTGGAGGACTCCTCCTTCTCCTTTTCCTTCTAAAACAAGGCGCATCAGGAACACAAGCTACACCTGTCTCCGAGGTTTTTACTCTACGCAATGGACTCCCCGGAGCTCGATACGCGGAGGCCATGGGGTCACAAGAAAACGAACACTGAAGCACCAGCTTCCCTGACCCCCGGGATGGGTCTTTGGCTCCGCCGCCAACCAAGTTTCGGCCGCATAGGGTAGGCGAAGCACCGTTCCACGAAAACCGACTCTCCTATCGCCCCACGGCCCCACCACCACCGCATCAACGTATCGCCATACTAACACTCCTCTTCCCCAGAGACTCCACATTGGCTGCAGCGGTAGGGAGTAGGGACACCCCTTAGAGTAGAGAGGTAAGACTTATCCTTTAGCAGAACACTATTGATGTCATACAGCGCACGGCGCTAAGGGTCCCCAACGACTCTATCCTACACATCGTCGGCAAATCTCAAGTGATTTTTTATAAAACGTATGGAAGTAGGATGTCTCGGTGTTTGACTACTTCGTTGGTCTAGTGGCTGTAAGTGCGACTTGTGATCAAGTTTTTAAGTCAAGAAATTCTCTGTAAGATCTAAGTTAGGTAGTGTTTCACTCTTGTACCTTCAAAAACATTTGAAGCCGTCCCGCGCCCGGTTCTCTCTTCTCGGATTAACGTGCCTTCGGACTACGAGAAATGGGAGAATAAAAACACCTGTGCGCTCTATAATTATCGTGGTAGAGCCAAACTGCAACTATATTACTCTCTCACAGAATACCAGCGTAAAATAGCGGCTCAATACCGCTGTTTCGTGTGGTAAGTGTAGAGAACTGGAGACCCTTTTTACTGGATACGAGGCATTCAATCTTAATGACAACGCATCTGCATTTTTATTCTTAATCAAGGATAAATTTAGATGTCTATAGGCCACAATATATGAAGAGGATCTTAGGCCTGTGTGCAGCAGTTGATTACTGCTTTTGGTTCTTGATATTCATTAATGATAACCATAGAATATTTTTAACAAAATCTCTACTTTACCTTTACTATAGTTATTCAAAAAATTCTTGCTAAAATAATTCTAATTTTAATTTTTTTTATATACAAAATTGAAATGACAAGCAAATGAACAGTCCACAAGACAGTGGTCACAACAGCCCATAGACACCACAGCTAGCAACCAACTTTAAACAGATTCGTTGCCGCCCCTGAGGACTCAGATGGAATGCCTATTAGCCTGTAATAGTAACTATAAACTGGCTCTCTATACCCTTCAGGCCGGAGCACTGGAGTGCACGATCTAATAGTTGACGACGAAGGTATGTATAGACGGACATCTAGGAAGAAAATGACTCATAGTAAATTCAATTGATTAAAGATAAAAATTAAAGGATTAAAAAATGTGAAGGAATAAAACACCAAATGTCATCATGAATGTCGATTCATATTTAATAAATAAATACATTTCCATTGTATTTAAATAAAACTATTGTAAGTGACTATGTTGTAGCAACTCTCAACAACTTTATCATATTATAATACAACATAATATATAAGATGACGCGGAACGCGTTTATTGCTTAGTTCTAGATTTATATAACAATTAATAACTAAGAGATATATATTAGGTGAACTCTTCAATATACATACATGGTAAGAATATAGTAATAAGTTAGTAAGTTTTATGTTACAGAAAAAATAAAACACTATCACTTCTAAAATTAATATATACTAGATCTTTCACCAAAATGTATCTGGAATTTACATGGAAATGTTTGAAATAGCTTACTTTATATATGTTCAAGTACAGTTTTTATTCTTTACGTCAAATGGACATAAAAATTTGAAATACTTTTGAAATTCAGAAGAGAATATCTTTTAACTTTAGAATATATAATGTGAACACAGAAAAATTACATCTTTGGCTTCAAGCGAAATTTACAAAAGCTAAAATCATCCTTTAATAATTTCATATAAACTTTGTAATGTAATCAAAACACCCACAGTATGAGTAAAGTATATTTAAGGAAATAGACAAAAGGCAAAGATGAAGGAAAAGGGACGTTCTGAATACACCACATGTTTCACAACTCCTCTTAGATTTTTTTCATATGAAAAAATCTGAAGAGGATTTTAGGACTTACTTAATAAATATAATAAAAGTAATTGTGAAACGTCACTATGACTAATAGAAACTCAAACTTCCCCTCACTAGAAATTTTAAAAAATCGCTTGAATTACGCGAAACAATTGCAGCCTGCATTTGAGGTACATACACAAATTACCAGGAAATAAATTTTCGATTCGATATTTTTACCCCATTTCGCTCAATATAAAATCACGAAACATTTAATCAATTCCTTTTTTTTTTAAATTTAACAATTTATATAATTATAAATTAGCTTTTATATTTTATTAAGATATATTCATAGAGCACAGTTTTATTTAAAATGTATCAAATATTTTCCGATATTTCGTTATATTGACATATTAAAAATATATAGGTAATTCGCTTTTTTAGTTGCTTCTGGCACATATCAAAAGAAAAATTACAACTGGCCATCATAAAATGTATTTTTACACAATATATTGCAGGAGAAATATTAAGCATGACAATACAACAATGAAAGAACAAAACAAGGCATAGTTATCAATATATATTTAATATAGAGATTCAATGGATTTAATAAATTTATTGGACAGAATACTTAGACGACTCTTTGTTGGTTTCACATTGTACACTTGCTAGGTTTACAATAGACAATCGATTCTGGATTTGTCTGTATATTCAAAATAAACTTTAATGTCTTTATATTCAGAATCAAGTTACTGTTTCGTTACACTTTATGTAAGGTGATGTGTAAACCCATCATCATTATCATTATATTAAATAACAATGGAAAGTGGATTCATATCAAAATGTAAGGAACAATCGAAATCTGAAATACAAATTAATTTTAGCTCCTCGTTAGTCGCAGAGACAATTATTTTTCTAACTACCCACGTATCAAATAGTAGAAATAACAAGCCTACGTAACCGGTAAAGAGTCAACAATGAAAATGTAGCCAACATTAGACTACACAAGTAAAATCATCAATCAGCCATAAGCGACCGTCTTAAGGATCCTTCTCCTTCCAAAGTGACCCTGACGGTACAGACTGATGTTTGTAATAAAACCCGAAGCCGGCCTACGTTGGAAATACTTACATCTATTCAGTTATAAAATACAGTAATTTCAGTAAGTTAGATCGGTAACGTTTAGGTGTGAACTAAATAATTACTCTATAGTAATTTTTTTAATAGAATAAAGGTGACAAACGAGCACACAGTCCACCGGATGGTAAGTGGATGCTGTGGCCCATAGACATCTACAACTATCCGCGATAAAGGTTGAAAATGCAAATGCGTTGTCAACCCTGAGGACTGAGATGGAATGCCTCGTTTCCAGTAAAAAGGGTATCCGGTTCTTTACGCTCACCACACGAAACGCAGCATCATTAAGCTGCTATTTTCCGCTGGTATTCTTTGAGAGCTAGAACCCCGATCGTGCCGAACCATTCGTGCTACACCAATAATATATAGCTGCAGCATGCAGCATGGCACTACCGCGGAGAATTATATTTTAAAATGAAAGATTGTACAAAAAAAAAACAAACGTTAATATATAAATCTCTGAAAATCTTGTTGTTGTTATTGTTATTGTTGTCGACGTTCTCATTATCTTGCTACAAAGTCAGTTATAACGTTTAGACGATGTCAAGCATTGAGGGCTGAAAAACAGGAAAGATTGGTTGGATGGTACAGATGAAAATGGGGGCAAACAGTGAAAATGAGATTTCGGGATATTTTTGTACTTGAAAAATCTTGATATACGGTTACAAGAACTAGATAATGAATTTTTTTTTCAAACCACCTACAACGCTAATAAATTCCTCAACAATATATGAATAAATTCGTATTAATTTGTCCAATATAAATATAATGCAGTTTTAATTTTTTTTAATGTATTTGTGCTGAAAAGAATTTTAAAAATATCGTGACTCTACTATTTGCTGTTGCATAATCTATTCCGAACGTATGTACAGTTATTACTAAAGAAAGATAAATTTTTTAAATGTTTATTTAAAAACGTAGATAATACTTTTTGGGTTCTGGTAACACACATGGAATTTTTTTTTCTAAAATCGATGGTTAAATGTATTTTTCAAGCAGCAGTCCTCACACTAATATGTTACTTTATTCCCAAGCCAAATCCTTCCCACAAATAACAACCACTACCTAGATAAAGAATATATAGTCGTGTATACTAGTCAATTTCGATGGAAAATAACGTATACTAAAATGATTTTTTTGTCTCTCGCTACAGAATCCAAAATTGCATCTCCAAAAACATGGACCCAAACGTTTCCGAAAATACCACATTAAATTGCGTCTAAACTTTTTCAATAACTTTATTCGGCATCGATGCCGAATAAACACGACAATTCAGTGTCGATGTCACTCTAACCCGTTATTTTGTTAAATCGTTGCAATATTTCATTAAATTGCCTATATAGATGACCCCTAGTTGAACAGTGAATAAATTCGTGTACCATTGGCACCAATTTCAAACACCTCTAATACCACCAGTATTACGTTAAAAACGACCCAACTACCGACAATTACCCTGAATATGTTGTTAATTGCAAGTTGAAGTATACAACCCAACCATTTGGTACTATTGCACCACGACCTCACTATAAGATCGACCCCATTGACATAATATGTAAATATAAAGATGGCACTTAAGAAATAAACGACGCACTCATTTCGAATTAATTAAGGAAAGTCGAAAGCCGGAAATCGATTTTCTTGAACGTTCCGTGACCGACCATATCGTTCGATCGTATCGTGTTGTTTATACTTCTGTACTCTTCCCGACTTGTCCTTTCGTGTCCGGGATTCCTGACGCACTCAGTTTCCGTTGGCGTCCGGGGAAGATACCACTGAAGAGACGACCTGTGATGCAAATTTATTTATATTATTATTAGAGTTCATCCGAATCATAGCGCATGCAACACCTGACCACCATATCGGTCGCAGATAGCCATTCAAAAACACCGTGATCTGGATCCTTTGCTTCTTTATTATTCCTTTTTTATATAAAAATAAATGGGTCACGTTTAATAAAAACGGACTAATCATTAAAAAAAATACTGTAGTCTTCTTTTCGACTTTTTAGTCAAAAGAAGACTACATTCTACACTACAAAAAAGATCCTCTTCTCTTAAAATTATCTAAGACTGGCCTCAGTTATTGAATTCTTTGTCAATCGGAGTTGAACTGAATGATGTACAACATAATTATTATACCCATACACACTCCACCTTCCATAGAAAGGTGTTAATTGGCAGGGTTGGACGAACATCCTAAATTTCATACTACATTGGTGACTAGATTTCGATGTTTGTGAAAAAAAAAACAACAGCTTATTATATTTCCCTATACATATGAGCATATATTGGGTCCTTACATATGAAATTAGCGTTTTGTCGTACTGACCACTATGACCTAAAATATCTCCTCTTTGGTTAAGAAATCCAAGTTCAAATTTATAAATTAATTTAGCTGGTACATTTGTGTATTGAAAACATTCGTTCATTTGTTTTCTCCACATTATTTTTTTCTTTGGCGTCGCTTATTAGCGTACACTGGAAAACATGAAATATCGGTATATTTACGAGTACGAGTTCTACAGTGGCACCAGTGTTGCAGAAACAGCTCGAAGGATTAATGATGTGTACGGCACTGGTGTCGCAAAATTAAGCAAGGTACGTTTTTGGTTTCAACGTTTTCGTTCTGGAAATTTCGACCTTCAGAACCAACCCTGTGGACGGCCGGAGTCCAAAGTGGAAAATGAAGAATTAAAGGCTATTGTGGAAGCGGATCCATCACAAAGCACTTCATAGATAGCTGCAGGCTTCGGGGTAAGTGTTAAAACCGTATTAATCCACTTGAAGCAAATCGGGAAAGTAAAAAAACTGAGTACCTCATGAATTGAGTGAATCGAACTTGCAAACACGCGTCGACTGCTGTGTTACTTTGCTCAACCGACACAAAAATGAAGGGATTTTAAATCGAATCATTACTTGTGATGAAAAGTGGATACTGTACGATAATCGGAAGCGCTCGTCGCAATGGGTGAACTCTGGAGACCTAGCCAAATCCTGCCCTAAACGAAAATTGACTCAGAAAAAGTTACTTGTGAGTGTTTGGTGGACTAGCGCCGGTGTCATTCGTTACAGCTCTCTAAAATCTGGCCAAACGATTACGGCAGATATCTATTGTCAGCAACTGTAAACCATGAAGGAATAACTAGCTGCGAAACAACCGATATTGGTCAATCGCTCTAGGCCACTACTGCTTCACGACAACGCAAGACCACACACTGCACAACAAACAACCACTAAGTTAGATGAGCTACAATTGAAATGTCTGCGACATCCACCGTACTCCCCGGACCTTGCTCCAACAGATTACCATTTTTTCCGGAATTTGGATAACTTTTTACAAGGAAAAAAATTCAACTCCGATGCGGCAGTCCAAACCGCCTTCAAAGAGTTTATTGATTCTCGCCCCCATGGTTTTTTTTAGTAAAGGGATCAATGAACTACCTATGAAATGGCAAAAGTGCATAGATAACAACGGTGCATACTTTGATTAGTTAAATATATTTTACAAAAATTGACTTTATATTCCTCCCGTACAAAACGCCAATTTCATATGTAAGGACCTATTATTATATTTCCCCATGTGTATAAGATAAACTGAAATTTTTCGAGGACATGTAAAGTTCGCCAAAAAAGACATTGGGATGAGGCAGGCTTTTTAGACTAGACTTTAAGAGAAGGTGTGTGCTCTTGTGTTACTTTGCTATTACTCCATCTGCTGACATTTACATTACCAAAGAATCGCGCTAATCTAAAATAAATCCTAATCTAAAGCTCATAAGGTTGAGATTTGTCCAACCTGGTGAACGCTGCTCATTCGGATGTCTCGGCGAAGTGGCATGCAGTGCGTTACGGCTGCCCTGCTGGAAGGACACCGACATGCCGCTGTCCAACGAGCCGACTGAGCCTCTTCGCTGTAGACGCTCAGCCGCTAGAGCCACTGGAATAGATATTACTACATTTTGAGTTCCTGTTAAAACATTTAGTCTTCCAAGGTCTTCTGCAATACCTATGCAGGCGAATTGGCAACAACCTAACCATACTACCTGCCAATACTCTGGGTATTGTATATTACGCCTAGTATAAGATTATTATTTGTCCCGGGTCGGGCCAAAAATCAATTATAGAGTTTTTCAGTCAAGAAATTCTCAGTAGCTGCCCGGAGTCAGAAAGGTGGCGGTGTCTCACCACCGTACCTCGGAAAGCACGTAAAGCCGTTGGCTCGCATCTCTCTCCGGTCGTGTCGGTTTACCGTCCCATCGGATTATGAGAGTGAGGGAATAGAGAGTGCACCTGTGCTTGCGCATACACTTGAACACTATAATCCTGTCCCGCGCCGATGCCTAGCCTCCGTTGAGGCCGGCCGCCGTGGCCGAAATTCAGTTTGGAGGACTTATTATTTGTTTGTATTGAATGTATTTAAAGAATCATGCCCACTTTCCATACATTGAATGACCTGTCACTTGATTCCTTTAACAGGTCGCGTCTACCTACAACTACTGTTGTATAAAAACAAATATTGTTTATAATAACATAATAACTCATCATCTTTTCATTTAGAGGCCAGGGAAAAATGCTATTAAGTAAATAAAATTTTGAGGTTATAACAGCTGTAAGATAAGGTCCGTACACTTATTTTTCTTTCCACACCATATTAAAAAACCGTAAAAATTGTATCTAATCATAAATTAATAAGTTATAAAAAAGAAATTGGTTATTTTGAACATTCATAAACCACATTGAACAAGTTTTTCGTAGTCTGAAACGGAACGTGTAAAATATGTTTTAAATATATTTTGGCAAGGCTTCTGGGCCTTTGAGCCATTTTAAAACACGTCCCGTCTCCAAAAGTCTATTGAGAATGATAAATAAAGTAACATTACTTTTTTTCCTGGCTTTCCTTGAAAATTCAATTATGCTATACGTAATAAGAAAAAAATATGCAATTTTATAAGATATTTTACACCATTAGACGCGTTAGAACATTTTCAGGTCAGGACTGGACATGATGTTTTTCTCATTTAAGTGAATTATTGTAAATTCTTATGAGAAATTAAGATACGAGGGTGGATTGAAAAGTACTCGGCCTAACACAGATCCATTAAATTCTAAAAATCAAATCTACCCACATTATTTAGTTCAGTTCAGACTAGTTCATTGTGTGAAGTTCGAAACGTGTGCGATAATTAGTTGTGATTTTATAAATTTATTAACAAAGTAATCGGACATAATTTCCGCGAATGGAGCAAATCGAGCAGCGTGCCGTCATTAAGAACCTCCATAAGAAGGGGCTATCATCAAAAGCCATCCATGATGACATGGTCAGTACATTAGGCGATTGTGCTCTGTCATATTCATCCGTCACAAAATGGATAGCAGAATTTAAGCGTGGTAGAGAGAGTGTGAAAGATGAACCCCGCTCTGGAAGGCCTTCGACGTCAACTACTGACGAAAATATTAAAAAAGTACTTGATTTAATAATGGGAGACCGCAGATTAAAAATTAGAGAGATAGCCGAGATTATAGGCATCTCTTATGAACGAACTCAAAACATCATTGTCAACGAGTTGGGTTTCCACAAGGTGTCTGCGAGGTGGGTTCCGCGACTGCTTTCAGTTGAACAAAAAAGGACGCGATTGACTATTTCACGCGACTGTTTGGAGTTATTTGAAGCCGATGCAGATGATTTTTTGAATCGTTTTGTTACTATGGACGAAACATGGGTTTATTACTGTACACCGGAAACAAAACAACAATCAAAACAGTGGAAAAGACCTGGTTCACCACCCCCTAAAAAGGCTAAGTCGATTTTGTCATCAAATAAGGTGATGGCTTCAGTATTCTGGGACTCGAAAGGTGTGATTATGATTGATTATCTTGAAAGGGGTCAGACTATAAACTCTGATTACTACTGCACCTTACTACGTCGTTTACGAGAGGAAATAAAAGAAAAACGTCGAGGAATGCTCAGAAGAAAAGTCCTGTTTCATCAAGATAACGCCCGTGTTCACACGTCAGTACAGTCAATGGCTGAAATTCACAACTGTGGCTTTGAACTGTTACCGCATCCGCCGTATTCACCTGATCTGGCACCATCAGACTTCTTTCTGTTCCCTAACCTAAAAAAGCACTTGGGAGGTCAAAGATTTTCGACAAACGACGAGGTCAAAGCAGCTGTAGACGCATATTTTGACTCTAAGGAAGAATCATTTTTTTTCAACGGTCTAAATGCTTGGAAGGGGAGGTGGCAAAAGTGTATTGAACTTGATGGTGATTATGTAGAAAAATAAAAATATAACTGATTTAGTATGTGTTTATTTTCTTGGTTAGGCCGAGTACTTTTCAATCCACCCTCGTATCTAAAACCTTATTACGGATTATAATATAGTCTTCTACGATTTGCTGGAACCTGAAGGGAAATCGGCAACAAAGTAGCAAGTTCAATCGCTTAGCACCTATCAATAGTCTAAGTATTACATGGCTTTGAGATAGTTATCCAGTTTATTTTTTATAAGTCCGCGTTTTGCAAACGGAACCCTTACTTTGCAGCACCAAAGTAATGAAATGGTGTGGATTATTTGCACCATAACTTAAGGAAGGCGGGGTAAATTATATTTTTATACGTGGTAGGGCCACGCTGGAGCTATATTATGGTTGTAACACGAATAAGTCGGCTCGACCGGTGAAGGACCACGCTCTCACAGAATACCAGCGTGAAATGGCAGCTTAACGCCGATGTTTTTCGTATGGTGAGGGTAGCGAACCGGAGACCATTTTTACTGGAAACGAGGTATTCCTTCTTAGTCCTCAGGAGTGACGCATCTTTTGATTCTTAATCTAGGATAGATGTAGATGTCTATGGGGCAAGGCATTCATTTACTATCAGGTAGATTGTAAGCTCGTTAGTCACCCTTATTCTATATAAAGAATATCATCGGCTGCCCTTTTTCAAGTGACATGTTGTGAGTTCTTTTTCAACACCGCCACTCAACAATTAAATATTATAAATGAAATATCTCACCTGGATCGTTAATGTCGACCAGCGAGTTGCTAAGTACGTTCCTCTTTATAATGTTGGTGGGTGGTGGGTTTTGGGAGAGACGAGATGGTGCCGCTGGTGCCGGGCCGGCCGGTGGGGGCGGGACTACCACTCTGTAAAATACACCATTTTTTGTGTTTCACCCGATAAAATATAAAGAATAGAATCATTATTTCATTTATATATTATCCCATTTTAGTCCTCAGGGTTGAACAACGTATCTGTAGCCATTTGTATGAAGTTGGCTGCAGATGTCTAAAGACTGCAGTAGTCACTCACCATCAAGTGGACCGTAAGTTTATTGTTTCTTCATTTTTATAAGAAAAAGACTGCCCATCAGTGGACTTAAAAAAAGGCTGTTGATGTAATATCTATATCAAACAGACGCACTTCTCCGTCTAATTTTGTGTTTCTCTCGACATACGTAACCTAACAAACAAAGGAATTTAACAAGTTTAATTCACTTTAATAAAGAAAATTCTTTGCGTACGTACCCGTGCACGTGCACGTGGTCCATACACTGCTGATGATCGATCTCTACGTCGGCTACGCCGCTGTCTCTGTTCTCCATTACTATAACCAATTAAAAGAAATTTTCAATAAAAAAATGTGACATTGCAATCGATACTGTGATGTCAAAGAATACTCATCTATGACTCATCCTTAATAAATAGTGCTTATCCTAACTCATACTACGTGGCAGGATGCCTATTATTTTGATAGCATCCAATATAATTACAGATAAGAGATTCATGATAATCCAAAGAGGTTACAATGGCTCTTTAAATAATACTTTTGTGAACAAAATCACACATTACGGATTATATTCTCACAAATCAACAATTCGAACACCAGATTGGAAAAGTTTCTAACCATCCACATAAACATATACTCGTAAAGACCAGCGCTGGCATTCCTTTAGCACCGTACCTAATTAAATGATATTGCAACGTTAAAAACACAAAAAATATTAATAATCTGCAACGCAGGAAATGAACATCAAAACAGCGAAGTAGACATGTGTCAGTCATGCATGATTCGTTCGTTTGAGCTGGTACACTTAAAAGCATTAATGGTTCATTCATTTGTTTTTGAATGTACCAGTACAACCAATCACAAACAAATGACGGTACCTTTTTAACCCGCGATTTGTTTGGATTGTGAATGAACCGCAAACCGACCGAATCCCGAATGATATGAATAAACAGACGAATCGTATTAACAACGCAGACTGCAGAGTATCAGGAGTATTTATTATTTAAGGGTTTGTTTATTATAATATTGTTACCTAAATAAAAAATTATTTTACATTTTATTATATTTATTTGTCACATCTATGAGTTAAAAATATAATTTCGTAGAGTTTACCAAAAATAAGTATAACATAGGTAAAAGTTTAATTTTGTAGCAAATAAATGTTACAATCCCTATTTTTAAACATGTAAAGTAAGATGAAATTGTGTATTATTAGGAATAAAATTTGAGATTAAACAAATTTATTACATATATGATAACTTGAGGTTTTTATGTTTATGTCATCTAGCGTCGATTGTACTTACCACCTTGAAAGTCAATAAGTTTTAGTTCGATAAAATGACTTTATTACCTATAGCAAGTAACAGATGGCGCTATTACAAATCTCAAATAGAAAATTTTCGGTTCCTAATAGATCTCAAAGAGTACTGGAACCTGAAATGATCCATTTGAATGATCGATCCGAATGAACCAGTACGCGTGACTAAATGTACTAGAATGAGTCGGTCGCTAGAAATGAAAGATTGACACACATGTGTAATCCATCCTGATATGTAGTACTCGAACAAACACAGACTACAATTTAGCTTTAGGGAAAGTAATAGCGCGTTTTAAAATAAATCACCAGCTAATTGCGCTCCGCGGCACTAAGTCGGTGGTATTGTGTGCTGCAAAACTAATTTTCCTATTATTTATGAGCAGTATACAAATGTTAACGAAAAGTGACAGGACTGCGTAAACATACAGACCGTTCCTCGCACCGGCGCTGCCGCCGCGCCCCTTGCCGCGGTTGAGCTCGCCCTCGATGCGCATGGCCTCCATCTCGTCCATCTCCGCGATGCTCTCGCGCAGATCCTCCGCGAACTTGCAGCGGTCGTGTTCGTTGCGCGCGTTGAACGTCGACAGCCGACGCCCGTCCACGCGCCGCGACAGACGTATGCCGAACGGGTAGTCTATAATAAAAAATTATATTATTTATAAATTGCAGAGCAGAGAGATAAGGCTCAAAATTTTTTAAGTATATTTTATGTTATAATAATAATGTCCTCCAGACCGAATTTCGGCCACGGCGGCCTGCCTCAACGGAGGTTAGCCATCGGCGCAGGACAGGATTATAGTGCCCAAGTGTACGCGCAAGCACAGGTGCACTCTCTATTCCCTCACCCTCATAATCCAATGGGACGGTAAACCGACACGACCGGAGAGAGATCAGGCGCAGGACCGACGGCTTTACGTGCCTTCCGAGGCACGAGGGTGAGACACCGCCAACTTCCTGACTCCGGGCAGCTAATGAGAATTTCTTGACAGAAAAACTCAATAATTGATTTCTTGGTCCGACCCGGGATTCAAACCCAGGACCTCATGATCAGTGGTCGTACTACTGCAACCACTAGACCAACGAGGTAGTCATTTTATGTTATATTACCCGAACCGAAATACGAAGACATAGGCGTAGGCGGTGCAAAGATAAGAATATATATGACATGTTATAAAGCCCAATATCAACTATATTTTAGCTACTTTCCTATTTGTCCTATTTGTCCCGGATCTAGCTGTAGCTAAGGACCATACAAGTGACCCCATAAGTAACCCATAAAAATTTCATCAAAATTGGTCAAGCCTAAACGAAGGACAAAAACGGACATGCAAACAGAATTTTATATATCAAGATAAGCTAATTAATAATAAAATTCATGAATAAATTGAAAAATAAATATATATTACTTACGCGGCACTGAGAAGAGATTGACGACCATTCCACACAGGGGGAATGACTGCCTGAAGGTGTAGGTCACCGAAGATTTCTTCTTGCTGAAGATCTTCGTAATCACTAGTAAATCATTGAACAGGAACACCTAAATAAAAATTTTGTGAAAGTTATTCATCAATAGGCGATATTTTATTTAAATTTAATGAAAGCACCAAAATATTATGAACGTGAAACGAATAAAGTTAGCCGAATTATATTACGAGTAAATATAAATATGAATTACAAAGACTTTTATCATGGACCTGTTTAAAATTTAATTTAATGTAATTTCTAAAGTCTCAAGAGATTTTAGTACGACAGGATTAAAGTGCACTAGTGTGTGCGCGAGCACAGGTGCACTCCCTATTCCCTAACTCTCATAGTCCGATAAGAAGGCAATATGGCACGACCCGAGATGAATCGGGCGCAGGACCAACGGCTTTACGTGCTTTACGAAGTACGGACGGGGGTGAATAACGGCCATCTCCAGGCTGCTACTATTTCTTAAGAGCAAAACTAAAACTGCTCTTGGCTAGACCCGAGATTCGAACCTAGGATCACATGATTAGCAATTGCGGTTATAATCACTAGACCAACGATACATTCAAAAATAATATGAAACCACTGTAATTACACTCTGTTTGTGAATAAAAAATCAAACCAAATCAATTAACTATAACTAATTTTCACTGGTTTTCTGTGAGAGCGTGGACCTACCCTGGTCGAACCAACCCATTCATGCTATAACCATAAAATATATGCAGCGTGATACCACGTATAACGTATATAGGGCATGGGATACATTCGAATTTACTCGACTCTATAGAGAGAAAAGAAGGTTATTTATCTCCTCCTTTTTTTGAACCCTGTTAAAATACAACAGGATTGAGTAAGTATTCAACGAAGTATTACTACTAACGAACGTATAAAATTATACAAGAAACTATAGTCATAAACTCATAAAATCACCCTTAGCCCTTACCAAGTAATATTTATATCTTTGCTTATACAAGCATGTGGTCATACGACCACAGCGACATCTGTGACGGAAAGTTAGCGTAAACTATGAGACACTAACTTATATATCTTATATACACTAGTCTGGTATACTTTTAGATAGGTTTTTTTTTTGTTGTGGTGTATAAGACATTACATCTAGAGTTATTATATCCATATTTCAATATTTTTGATCAACACAATAAAACACAAGGTACCAGAGTATGGACACCTCAAAATAAGGATTGGCTTATATCCATGAAAAAAATTATATTACCTCTCGTTGGTGTACTCCAGGACGTTCTTTCTTATGTATGTCGGGTATTTCATACAGCCGACAGTAACAGACGAGTCGCCGATGCGGCAGAGCAAGGTGAGGCTTTTTGCCGACTATCGTAGCTTGTACTTTCATCACCTGGGAGTAACAAATGCAGATTACAAACCACCAACTATTAAATTTTTACAGATCTCTCCTTAGTTTTCTTTTTGAAGTGAAAACTTCTTTAGTGGCGTTGTACACTTTTTTTGCAATGGGTAAAAAATGTTAAACTCGCGTCAGGACACGTAACCTGATCGAAAATTCGTAAAACATCGTCGAAATTATGGATGGAAGTTGATTTTTCCGAGAGATAAACTTTTTAATGTAATATTTATTGTCATGTTTGTGTACGATAGCGCAATAAATAAATATTGTATTCTACCACATAAATGATAGTACTTTTATACCGATAATTAAAGCAATTCGTGCAAAATTATTCCCTAACCATTCCAAAATATCAAAAAGGCACAACGTCAAAATTCAAGTTTTCACTTCTGCCGGCACTCCCGGAGTGCAACCCGTCGTTTTTTTATATCTGTCATTCATTACTGCCTACCAAATTTGAAAGACACTACCGACCATCTGCAGTTTTGTTTCCCTCAGTCGCTTTTTACCCACGGAACGTATGGGTTAATAATAAAAAAAATCTTACACCGCCACTACACGGTCATGAATTTTAGATATTGTAACCAAAGCAAGGTTTAGACAAAGCCAGTACGAACGAAGCCGCTGGCGCCAGTCCTCAGACACGCCAGCGCTGGCCTGGCCCGTGTTGTTTAGATGAGGCTAAATGGATTCATTTCATTCCTAGATTATTCTTGTAAAAATATCGTTGTATTAAATTAATGATTCTTTACACTTTAACTGAAAAATAATGTTTATCATATACATACATCAAATATAGGAATTTGTACAATATCACTAGTAAAATTTTTATATTACATATTATTTATTCTGGCGCGAGGATTTCGGGGCACGCGGGCGGAGGTCACTGGCTTGAAAAATAGGCAAGCGCCCTATTCCCGCCAGTGCTGGCAGCCAGCGCTGGATTATCTTGAAAAACTGTTTATACGAGGCCAATAACTAGCCAGCGCTGGCTTCTAGTTAAACTGGCAGCCAGCACTGGCTTCGTCTAAATCTTGCTTAAATGATGCATATTTAAGCTTGCACGCTGGAGCTGCCAATGTCAATTTCCGGCCTTCAGGGACAATTAAATTCGGCGTGTATATTTTGCTAAGATGCAAGAAACACGCGACAGTTCAGAACACTAGTGTGCGCATACTTACGTATATAATATATCACTATTATTAAAATCTCCTTCTTTTTCTTCCACCACAAAGGCCAGAGCTTGATATGAACCTCTTCCGATGTAGGGAAGTTTAGCTACAGTAGCCACGTACGGCCAGCGGATTGGCGATTGCAGTTCCAGACGGATTGCACCTTTGACGTTGCTTTCCATCGCCAGTCTGGATATTTTACATTTGCCGTAAACCAGATGGTTATACCGCCATCTTTGGAGGCTAGGAGACCTTCCTTTCCCTTCCTGACATACTTTGTACTTGCTTCTTTAAGTATCCATTCCATAAAAAGAAGTGAAAAATTATATTACGATTATATAATTTTTATGGTTGGGAAATTCACCAGACTAATTTAATTTTGATTAACCCTTCTAAAGTAACCACCTGTAATAGAAGTACAGCAAAATTGGACCTTCTTACCTGTGTGACGTGATCACTCCCGGGCCTGAATTCGCTGGCTTTGACGCGATCATAGATTCCGGCGAGCATATCTCGGTCAATGTCTCCACAATCGTCGATGCCGCGCAAGTTTCGCACGAAGTCGTCCAGCGACATTCGTGCTTCAGGCTTTAGGTTTGGTGTGTGAAGGTCCGTGTTCAGCATTATTATGGCGAATGCTAGTACGAATATCTGCAAAGGAAATTGCACTTTAAACACAAAAGTAATAAAACAGCCGATATTTTAAAAATACAGTTTTCCAATCCATCCATTTAGCCGATCAAAATCCTCTGCTAAACATAGGCCCCTCTGCACATGTCTTATGTGCCATAGTTGCCATACTTGGATTGGCTTAGCGGGTTGGCAACCGCAGTCTATTATTATTTTGAATTGCTTCTTGTGCTGAGACGCTGCTGCCAATATACAATGGCTGCGTTTGGCACAAAAAAGCGCTAGGAAGCACTTGTAAGCAAAATGGCGAAGTTTTCGGCCAGGACACGTTTGCTAACTTCAGTGGCTCTGACACAATCCGCCATTTTGCTTATTTACTTTGTTTGTTTTAAAGTAGAGTTTATAAGTTGTTTTATGTAATATTAGTTTCAAGTAATGATATGAATAAACATATTATACATGTTATTAAAAATTCATGATCGGTAAGTTTTTAATATAAATACTTTACAAACATATATTTAAATTAGGTTAGGTTCCCCGGTTAAAACTAACTTCGTGTCCTAGCGGAAAATAGCTACTACTACTATTACGATTTGACAGCGCCTACCGCTTACGATCGCCATTATGCTTACAAACGCTTGCTAGCGCTTTTTTCTGCCAAACGCAGCCAATAACTCAAGGAAACAAAATTTTAGACGTAACCTGATAAAAATAGACTTACCGTGTCTTGAGTCCGCAGACGTTGAACAAAATCGGTATTACACACGCAATAGCGTCGAGCGAACGCTTCCACAAGCCGCTCGATTTTCTGCGCCTCGCCTGGAAGCCGGAAGTGGGCTTGATAGCGACGAAGCGCCACATCTACCGCCATACCGGACAAATCCAACTCGTTCACGAAGCATCTGAAATTAGATTGAATTATTATTTTGATTCTTTCGAAAGTTTTTGCATTACTATGACAGTTTAGTTTATGGCACCACGACAGAGTCGAATGATGTTGTATTGACTGACAACTTCCAAATTTTTGGATATGGAATGTAGAAGTAAGAAGTACAGATTGTGTATTAAAAAGTGTCCATAGAAAATCGTTAAATAAGGGTGGCGCCACAATAGCTACGGGTTAAATTTTAAAGAACGCACTGAAAAATATTAGTGGGATAGACGACTTTTTCGAGGTTACATTTACTAAATAAAATTATTTTAGATTTTAGAACTACTGAGCAGTTTAGCAGCACACTTAAACCGTCGACAACTGCTAAGTTCATTTCATCCCAGTAGCTACTCCAGCGCTGTTGTGGAGAGTTTTTGAGCTGTTATTTACTGCTTACAGATGGACACTTTTTCAACTGTTCTACTATGGGAGTTGGTACTCCTTACTTCTACACTCCATATTTTGGAAGCTATCCGATAAGATATGATTTTCTTCTTTTTTTTGTTTGATAAGCCCATAAAAGTCAGAAGGAGTAAGCTAAGGCACGAGCCTCCTAACATGAGGTTTTGCTGGCATTTCCCTTAGTCTTATAACATACAGAGCCGTGATAGCTCAGGAGCACAGCGCCCGCTGTGAATTTCACAATACGCGAGCAACCCGGATTCAATCTCCGCCGGCATCAATGAAATGCTCAGCGGTGAAAAAAAAATTCGTGAGGAATCTGCATGTGTGAGAAATCAAATATATATATATATATATATATATATATATATATATATATATATATATTTGAAGTCCGCCAACACGTATTGCGGCAGCCGGCAGCGCAGTGGACTCTTCCTTGCTCTAAAACCCTCTTGGAATTACGATGTGCCAATGTCTATGTGTGGGACGTATATAGCCCGTAAGTTCATTTTACTTTAAAACATATACGGGGCGAAATGGGGTACAAATGTACGCGAGTTAGTTTTGCATAACATGACTGGTGTTGGGCCAAGATGCAAGTAGTGTCAGAGACACTCACACGCAAACATCAACAAAATTTTGTGTTTTTGAATCAAAGATGGCTGAGCGGTTTGAATTCTTACTACAGGCAGATATAGACATGGTTTGCTGTTATATTACTCTAAACAGGATTGTCGAGTTTAATTTTTCTTTTATAATTATGGTTATTATTTATTACACATTAATAATAAACATGAATAAATATCAAATCCTATTTCATCCAAATATTTAGTACACTTACTCAAGCACAGCCATATTGAAGGGATTCTGCAAATTCCCTAGGTACTCCCCAATCATCTGCTTGCTTAGTCCTTTCCTCGTGATGAGGAAACGCGCCACGCCACGCGGTGAATTCTCCAAGAATCCACGAGAAATAAGATAGGCGATTCCGCGTTCGGGCTTCTTGTTGAAGAGATTCAAACCTACTCTGTATTGGCGTTTGCGTACTGTTTCTGACACCTAGAAGAACAAGAAATTAGTAGAACATTCTGGTAACTAAAGCAGAGTCATCCATCATATACTTTAAGACGAGAGAATTTAAGAAGATCGTAAAATAAGAGTGCTGTGAGCACAATCTTATTAAGCTTCTTGGTCTCTACAGGATATATGCCGAAAAGTGTGGACAGGAATAACAAAAAAGGATAAAACCTTCCTCCCTCTCATTTCCACCTTGGGACTACCAAATGGTGACGGATCTTCACAGCTTTGTTGTTGATTTATTTGAAGCAAACGATTTGCTTCATATCTCATAAGGCGTACAGTAAAGGAGTAGAACAATCTGACGGTGTTTGCCTTCCCGTTCGATAACAATCTGGACATCGTAAAAGAGTCAATAGTGAATAGGCTGTTATATTAAGTCAGTGTGATTAACCAACTAGAGCTCCAATATCACTATGTAGGATTGTGGTCAAGCACTGGTTTCATAATAAGTATGAAAGTCATGTTCATTCAACTAAATCTTAGCAAAGCAATGTAGCACATGGCTATTCAGTCTTTATTCTTAAGAATTTTAATTTTATTTTCGTAAACAGTCATCTAGATTTGTTTTGATTGTGTGAATTTAATCTAACTTACTGTATTTGTGCATTATAGTAATATTATGCATTTTAATGTGGTATCATTGGACTCCTGAGTCTATTAACCTTGTGCCTTTGGCACGGTAGCTTTGAGCAGCAAGTGGTGACCTTTTTACAGTAACCTTTTGCATCTAAACAATATATTACGGGGTAACTGCCTCGTTGGTCTAGTGGTTGTAGCTTGTAGTAGTGCGACTGCTGATCATGAGGTCTTGGGTTCGAGTCCCGGGTCGGGCAAAAAAATCAATTATTGTGTTTTTCCGTCAAGAAATTCTCAGTAGATGCCCGGAGTCGGAAAGTTGTCGGTGTCTCACCCCCGTGCCTCGGGAAGCACGTTAAGCCATTGGTCCTGCACCTGATTTTACCGTCCCATCGGATTATGAGAGTTAGGGAATAGGTCGACTATTTGTTCGTTTGTCACCCTTAGACTATAAAATAGAAGAGTGCACCTCTGCTTGTACATACACTTGGCACTATAATCCCGTCCTGCGCCGATGGCTCGTCTCCGTTGATGCTGGCCGCGGTAACCGAAATTCGGTCTAGAGGACATTATTATATCACGCGATATCAATGTATTTCTTAATCCTATTGCGATAATTCCATCCTAGTTCAATATAGGTAGGCGTAGTAGTATGTCTTACCGCGTACGTTACGTAAGCATTTTAGCGTCATGATATGTTATCGAGATAACTTTATAAACGTAGGCATGGTAAGAATTATCACTTTAAAATATAGGAAAAATAACATTGACCCCAGTTTTTCATTTATTCCTCCCTGTAGAGTTGTCTTTTTTGGTCCAATGCTGAACTTAGGCCTCCCCCATATTCTATGAGGGAGCTTTTACTTATATCTGCCGCTAAATAGCAGTAACGCATTACATATTAGTCCTCAGAGGTGATAACGAATCTCTAGCCTGCTTTGTTTGAAGTTAGCTGCAGGTGTCCATGAATTGAAGTAGCAACTTATTAATAGGTAGACTGTAAGTTTGTTTGTCATCACTTTTATAAAAAAAACGATATTGGCTGTGTCGTGGACACGGTGAATACGTGTATGTAACGATACGGCCTCAAAATGGCGGCACTTCCCACTCCGCCGCGTGCAATGCATCACAGTCCTCAATGTAGCGAATTCTTTAATCCTTTAGCTATGATGATAGATATGTAGCTGTAACGCCAAACGGTATCCCGCGATTATGTTGTCATCAATTATCTGGATTGCCTCTCACTATGGAAGCAAATTTAAAATCGTATTCACGTCATAAATCAAGGAACTTACGGCGGTAACTTTCAAAGGCTGATGTGTATGCGGGTGATGTTCATGTTGCGGTCGACAGCAAGCACCAGGTGGCGGCGGTGCCTCGTAGTACGGCGGGGCTTCTTGACGCTTCCACACCGGGAAGCGATCGCCTCCCTCGTATAAAGATCCAGAGGCTGTGCGCTGGTGCTGTTGGAAGTGCTGCTCCTGGATGTGCACGTGGGGTTCCTGAGGAATGTTTGTGCTGTTAAATTTAATTTCACCGTAATTCGCTGTCCTCCGAATTCACACCGCACTTTTTACAGCGTAAATATAGAAATTTATTATGAATATAATTTGAATACAGCGCCACCATATGTCAGATGCAAATCCTATAATTTAATTTCTTGGTGGCAAACTAACATAAGTTGTGAATATGAGCCAATTGACAACAGCGCTACCTATTGGATTCTAATATATAAATGAACCATTGTATCGATACAAATATAATGTGTAAACATTACCTAAATCATTCAAGTTGTTTAGAATCAACATGACAATTTACACCGGTTCTGGTTAAAATTAATATAGTACTAATGTGAAAATAATACTGTGAAATTCTAATATAATGAACTGTATGTGGAAATCTTCCGTTAAAAAATAATGAAAAAAATGCAATGAAGTAAATAACCTCCCTCTTTAATAATAACCTGGATTGAAGAGCACCTCCCGCCCTCCCATCCTGCTCTTCAATCCAAGACACATTATTGTATTTAATTAAGCGGATTGTTGCGAATTAGAATTTCCGCAAAGTAACGCCTGATTCTATCAATTAGCTTATCTCTCTCTCTCTCTCTCTCTATTTCTCTCTCTCTATCTCTATTTCTCTCTCTCTCTATCTTTCCCTCTTTCACTCTATGCAACTTTTCTATTAAGGAGGAAAACGAACATACGGCTCACGTGATGGTGATGATGGTCGCCACTCATAAACGCTTTACAAGACGAGATTTGCTGGTGACAGTGAACTAAAATTCCTGAGTTTCACCAGGTGATGTATAGTGGAGTAATGTGGATAATACTCACCGGAGCTCTAGGCTGGTAAGGTTGGTGGTAGTGATGACGGTGCTCCTGTGACGACGATGACGACGACGACTGAACCGACGACATGGAACCCCCGCGTATGACCGCACCGCATTCCGCCCGGCGGAGAGACACTGGGCTTTCGGCACTATGGACAATAAACGTACTTACTAAAATTTTAAAAAAAACTCTAGATCGCCCTCGTAAACTATTTTATTTCGTTAAACCAGAAATCTAAAGTTGTCCAGTCTTTTTTTTAAACGTTTCATTAAATAATTCGTTTTAACTTTCTTTAGACTTGTACTTTGTAACAGCCTAAGCATAGGCGGCATCGAATTTCTAATATTAGGATGGCTTTGGAGCAAAAAAGAGCCCGTCACACTACCGCAAAAGGGAATATTAATTTCTCATGATGGAGATACCAAATCTGTACCTAAAATCTCAATTGACAATTTCATCGATACTAGCGGAAGATGATCACGGCTCGTGTACTGTGAAACTTCAAACCGTGTCCTCATTTAGATTTTTTTAAACAAGTGGCGGTTACCACTTGTTTTAAAAAAAGAAAATTCTAGCAATACTAATAACGCTACTAATATTCCTGTTAACCACTCCAACTAAGGTTGAAATAGAAGTAGTTCACGTCAGTGGTCGTATAGCGGAATCGAAATCCAAGACCATTTAGTTTCGCAGTTCATACCGATAACCACGAGGCTACTGTTGCTAATTATCAAAAGGTTATACTGACCTGCCTGACTGCCTCTTTAGTCCAGCTATCGCAATCGCGAATTCCAAACCCGGCCAAAAAATAGTTGTCGAACTTTTCTGTTCAGAAAGAATTTGGCGGTATTTTACCGCCGTGCCTCGGAAAGCGCGTAAAGTTATTGTTCCTCCGCCTGATCTCTCTCTGGTCGAGTCGGATTTCCGTGTCATTGGACTTCGAGAATGAGTGCACCTGTGTTTGCGCATACACTCGGGCACTATAATCCCGTCCCGCGCAGATGGCATTCATTCTTTGTATAACAAACTAGCTTATTAAAACATCGACCTGCAACTTAACACAACAATTTTTTATACGTAGTAGAGCCACGCTGCGGCTATATTATGGTTGTAGCACGAATGGGTCGGCCCGACCGGGGGAGGACCACGCTCTCACAGAATAACAGCATAGAATAGCAACTTAATACTACTGTGTTTCGTATGGTGAGAAGTCCGGAGACCCTTTTTTACTGGAAACGAAGCATTCCATCTTAGTTTTCAGGAGTGACAATGCATCTGCGTTTTGATTCTTATTCGAGGATAAATGTAGATGTCTATGAGCCACAGATCCACTTACCATCAGGTGGACTGTGTGCTCGTTTGTCACCCTTATTTTATAAAAAAAAATGCGCATACGTACTTGAGAGTGATACTGCTGGTCCGTTTTGGCACTTCTGGTGGCAGCCTGCGAGCGTTCGCTGCTTGTATCGCCGCCAATTGTTGCTGCTGACGAGCCGTTGGCGACGACAGAGGCTTACCACCAGATGACAGAAGGTTGCCGTATATTGGCCCTGAATAGGAGCAAATACTTTTAATTTTTTTTCAAACATAAAAATATCAATTGACTTATGACATGCGTACAAGACCCCCAGCGCAATAAGTTGCCTAGTCGGCTCCGAGGTAATATAACGGCTCGCTATATTATATATAAAGTTGTACCATTATTGGAAACGGCAAAAAAGGTATTTTTATTACAATTTGAGAATTGAACACACTGTCGTATACATACCATTTTTATCATCAAACGACAACAAGTCTAATAAGCAACAGATAAATTGCAAGCATATGAAAAACACCCTAAATTGTTTTAATATAAAACTCTAATCATACCGGAGTTATTCAGCAATTGGTGATTGTGCAGAGATTCATTGTGGGAGGAGGAGGTCGATATATTTGTCACCGAACCGCTTACAGAACAGCTGCAGACCTGTAACCAGAAATAAATTACATACTGAATTCTTTGCTTACGATCAATATACAAATAACAACGTAAAGAGCGTTTCTATGCAAAAAGGTTGATGCCACTGTCTTTAAAAACTTTTATTTCACAAATGCAAAAAATATCAACCACAATAAACCAAATTGTTTTACCACCCACAAAATTAATATGAAAATAATTTCCGCAAATATCTATTCAAATTGGGTGTTCAAATATTTCCTCTTAAGTCATTATCTATAACGCTACGTCAATGAACTTTGCAATAAACAATGATTATCTAAAATTATATACTTATCTATATTGTACGGAATATTCAATTCAAAAAAACCGTTAGTAACCTTTCTATGAGACATATAAACATCACGTGAATAGCGTATACAATTATTTGTTAAATAACATGTTCGAAGATAATGGACCATATACGTGGTACAGCCACGCTGCAGCTATATGATGGTTGTAGCACGAATGTAATATATTAACTAGACTTGAATATTCGTAACTAGAATATTCGTTTATTGGCTATTGTTCGATATTCGGCTACTTTAAACACCTAACGAGGGGTTCCGTCTAATGGGTTATATACGAGTTTGATAATACTATCCTTACGTGTATTGAATTTATGTAATATCTGATTCTAATTTAATATAATTAATATATAATGGGTCGGCTCGACCGTGGAAGGACCACGCCCTTACAGAATACCAGCGTAAAATAGCAGCTTAATACTGATGTGTTTCGTATGGTGAGTGTAGAGGTCCGAAGACCCTTTTTTACTGAAAACGAGGCAATCCATTGTAGTCCTCAGGGGTGACACGCATCTGCGTTTTGATTCTAAATCGAGGATAGATGCAGCTGTCTTTGAACAACAGCATCTATTACCATCAGGTGGACTGTGTGCTCGTTTATCGTCCTTATTCTATAAAAAAAACCGCATGGCACCTGTCGAAATATCTAAATATCAGTCAAGTGTCTTAGATACGAACATTAAATTAATATTTATTTCAATAACTAGAAAATATATTATAATTGTAAGGAATATTATTGTGCTTATTTGGTACGGCAACCTGTTTCTAATTAAGAAGATATTAAAAGTTCGAATACAAACTTTAACCCGTAGACTCGATTAGCATACACATGTGTACCAAACATAAACATCGTACGCTCGCTCGATCAAGATACACATGTGTACCACAAGTACTACCCTTTGAAAAATAATTTTTTTAATTAAAACAAAACCAAAGACACTATGCAATAGATAATAGTACCAAAGACAAAGATATGCTCTTTTATTTTAAACCATAACCTGGCAATGTTTCTTAGAAAAAAAAAAAAGAAATCACTCTGAACTTCCGGCGTTCCACGTGTCACTTTGTTGAAGGGGCTCCATCTTTTTTATAGAATTTTATATTTGTGTCTGGACTAAAAACGAAAGTATTATACTTTTTTTATATTCCTTGTAATATAGTAAACACGTAGATATGTAATTTGTGGTATAAAAAAGTGAAAAGTAAATTGCCAAAAGTACTTCAAATTCCGGAAAGCCCGTTTTGGCAGGTGAGTTATAAATGTGTTATTTTTCAAATTCTCATTTATTTTTAGTGTAAAATGTAAGTAAAAATAGTTTTCGTATATATTTCAAATAACATGACGTTGTATTTATTTCAAATTCACACAAACATATTTTAGAAATATTGTTCGAAATGTCATACAGATAAAATATTTTTTTTTTTTTTTAATTTTTATAATATTTTAATATTTTGGTATGAGTAACGAATGGAAACACATAAAACATAAAAATATACATGTTTCCAAACATTTTCATATAAATTTCTCCAAAAACAAAAGTGTAGAATTCAAATTAGTAGTAATTTTGGCACTAAAAGTGAAGTATATACTACTACTTATGCTATAAAGGGTAATTTATGAATTTTATTATAATTTCTAACAACCAAAATAATTTTATTCAATAGTTTATACATTCAACAAGAATTCCTGTAAGTTTTATCCATAAATATTGTCTCAAAGTGAAAATATAGCAAAATTTGCAATATAGCAAAAAATTTGCTAATTTGCAAATTTTCCCGCCAAAAAGGTCGCGAGCGAACGGGAGTGTCATATTACGCGTGACCTCGCGAGCTAACAGGACACAAAAATATATACCATCCCTCCAACGAGTGTTATCTATCTTGAGTTTGAGACTAAAGTTTGAGTCCTCGGGTATGAATAATTTCGCCTCTACCTTTATCTGAGCCGGCCATACTACTATTACTTACTACACGAGGTATAACAGTATAGTTGTTGAGTACCGAGTATTAGAACCTAATACACAACTTTGAAAGAACTGAGACAAACAAAAACTCTATAATATACAAGCAAAAACGTTTGAGAAATATTTACGAACATCATACTTCTTCCTCACTCTACCGGTCACATTTATCACAGCGAGGAAGTTCTCATTCTTGACCAGTTTTTTTAACAGTCTTCTCGTTTTATATCGGCTCATTATAATCAACGTGTAAGGCGAAATGAGCACGCTCCAAGGCGTCACGCGTTGCACTGATAAGAATTATAATGATTACGTAGGTGTAAAAGATTCTACGCGAGCGATAATTTTAATAGCAAATATTTGATGGGTCGCGTTGCAGAATATATTATGGAATTACTGCATGTTTGTTCACTAAGTGACAAGTAAATTATTATAAATAAGAGACTTTTACTAATTAACAAAAGGCACGTCTTCAAGTAACCACCATATTGTTTTTAGGTCGTGGTAAGTTATTGCACATATAAGTCCCACTTATGGCCATGGACCTTCTCTAATGTCTGTGATAATTTTTGGAAACGTCCGCCGCGCTGCCTCAATTCGTGTTGGGAGACTTCATTCTTTGAATTTTTTTTAAATTCTTAGATATAAGTACAGGTTTCTTTACGATGTTTGCCTTCACCGCCGAACACGTAGTAAATCTACCATTTTTTTTTAATTGGAAAAGGGTGACAAGCGATCACACAGTCCACCTGATGGTAAGTGGTTCCTGTGGCCAACAGACATCTACATCAATTCTCGTTTGCGAATCAAAATGCAAATGCATTGTCAGCCTTGAGAACTAAGATGGAATGCCTCTAGTCCAGTAAAAAGGGTCACCAGCTCTCTACACTCACCATAAGAAACACAGCAGCATTAAGCTGCTATTTGACGCTGGTATTCTGAGAGAGCGTGGTCCTTCCCCGGTCGAGCCGACCCATTCGTGCTACAACTATACAATATAGCTGCAGCATGACTCTACCACGTAAAAAACCTTAAAATCATACTTAACAATTTTATCGACGCCTGCGGGAATCCAATCCGAGCTGCTCGAGCACTGTGAAATTTACAGGGCGCCAAGCCCTGAGCTTCCCACGTCTCTTAATGTCAAATTAATATGATAAAATGATAGGCATTTTACCACATAATAATCGGTAGTAACAATATATAGTAATAAACCTTTATTGGGTTTAATTTGCAACTCTTTGGAGAATTGGGCAAAAATACTGATAGCACAAACTTTGTAGAGGTTACATGGAATAAAAATAAAGGAAGATAGCAACATGTGATGAAAATCATTTTTTGAATAAAACTTACCCCACTATCGGTGTCGGCACGATGATGCGGAGGCATCTCGGACGCAATCATGTGTATCTGATGCGCTGACTGTTGAACCCTCGCCACCATGGCTTCCACTTCATTTGTAGTGTCGCATTGCAAATGGTTACTGGAATATTAGAGATATATTTTTTGTTTATTCTTAAAACACAAGAGAACAATCATTTGAAGGCCCATACCAATAGTGGTATCGTGAAGGGATCTAAGTCACCGCCCACAGCTCCGTAACCAAATACTAATTCACGCTGTCATGCCTATTTAATATAATAAATACAGTTTGCTTAAAAATTTCTTGTATTTATACAAATACTGGACATTGAACGAAACTAGTTTTACGGATAACAATATTTTTACTTATTTTATAACCCGACGTTTCGAATGCTTTATACATCACCCAACGTTACAGCTTAGCTTTGAGAATGCTATTCCTTTTTATAGTTTCTATTAGCGTGAACGATGGTAGAGAATTAACTTCGCTAACCACGCTGTAAATCCTTCCCTACTATAGCAGGTTATAGGTTATTAGGCCTATTATAGGTTTAGCAGAAAGCCCTTTGTGTGCTGAGAATAATTCGATAAAATTAATACATTTTTAGACTTTTTGCAATAATCTCTAAAGTAAAACAATAACAAAGGCTATATTTTAATACTAGCAAATCTTACAAAAACATAAAATATTGCTCTTCAAAGTTGTTAATTTTCCTAATTTTTCTTTAAAATACCTAATTATAGATGGGTGAGACTTATAAACTATAATAGTCTCACTCATCTTATTTTCATCATCATTATCATATCCTAACGGGCAACCAGACTTTCGAACACTTAGCCTAAATGCTGTGATTATGTAAATTTGTAATTATTTTAAAAGATATTTCTTAAGATATCGCTTAATTTGGCAAATCGTGAAAATTTTTTGCATTGCCTGTTCACGTATAGGGGAATGGCATAACATTTTTAATATGTTAGTATTATAAAGTGAAGATCAATTCCGAAAGAAAACATTTTTATCTTATTCCATTTAATAACACACCAGCAGTTAAGTTCAAATATTAAGACTCAATACAGAAGCAAGTTCTAAGCGTTCCTTGTCAGAAGAAAATAAATTCTAATACATTAAAAACGAAATAAATAATATATAAATAATTGTTGAGCTTTAAAAAAATTATACCTACTGTATGGGTTTTTTACTGTGTGGATAAAAATAGGGTAACAGGTAAATGAAATAAAAGTCTATGGCACTGATATTTTACAATTTTTTTGCTTTTACATTAACATATGAAAGTAAACCATCAATAAATACCACTAATTTGAAACTAAAATTTTGAACTGAATAAATAAATCAACTAAAAACTATCGAAATTAAAATAAAACGCCGCCTAATTAGTAGTATTTATTTATAGATCAATTTCATAATATGTTAAAATAAAAAATAAAAATTGTATAATATCAGTGCCATGGGCTTTTTTCCGTTCACCTGTTACACCTTATTTTTTCCAGACGGTAAAAAAATCAGCCAGTATAAGCACCCTTTTTTCCAAATTCTTATACTGGCATTCGTTTCTGAGCATGTTTAAAATTTCAAACCTGTAGCTTATCGTGAAGTTAGTTTAAAATCAATTACTAAATTTTACCCGAACAGACATACACGAAAGCGACTTAATGAACTAGAAAAGCAAGTCACCTCATGTCCACGTCGTGTCTCTCACGTAACGACATAGAGCGCATGGGTCTGGTGAGTGCAAGCATTTTTTCTGTTCCTGCTGGGCTCTTCTGGAGTAAGGTGTTCGCGTATATGTCATTTCCTGAAAATTTAACTCAAATTATAAGTAACAACAAATGCTGATACGATGCGATTAGGCAAAGAAAAAAATTGAATGCATAATTATTTATTTTAAAACTTTAAACATTATATTAATTAATCGGTTCGACCGAAAATGGACCACTCTCTCACAAAATACCAGCGTAAAATAGCAACTTAACGTTGTTGTGTTTCGTATGGTGAGTGTAGATGACCGGAGACCATTTTTACTGGAAACGAAGTGTTCAATCTTAGTCTTCAGCGGTGACAACGCATTCTACTTTTATATTTTTAATGGAGGATAGATGTAGATGTCTATGGACCACGGCATCCACGTTCCATCAGGTGGGTTGCGTGCTTGTTTACCACCCGCATTCTAAAAAAATGCTGGTCCATTGAGCCAGCCATAATTTGTTTATTGTATCGCAGTGGCGTTTACTTACACCAATCGCACAAACATATAATGAATACCGAAAGTTTAAGTATTAAAATTACTTAGTTAAAAAAAAGAAAAGGTAGGACTGAAAGCGAAAAATTTTAATATATATTTGAACAAAATTACCATTAACGAGTTGTCCATGATCGGAGCCGTCTTGGAGCCTCCTCGCGGTGGAATCAGCAGCTTTAGCCATGGCTGTGATGGCGCTAAATTTCTTTAGGAGTTGTCGTCTTCTGAACGCACGCTGTATGGTCACCGCTGCGCGTCTAGCCCTTAGACCTCCGTATCTCCTCTCAAGGATTTCTACTTGTTTGTCGAGGAGATCTTGAGACATCTCATAGCGGCTAAAAAGTGTTTAACAGTTAATTCAATAACGTGAATTTGTTGCTAGGGAAAAATGACAAAGGTCTAGGTGTTTGGAAAGTAAATAGGTTAGACGAAAACTGTATAGTGACTACGATAAAATATGTGAATACAATTATGGACTGTGAAGGAAACAACAAATACATAATTTGGATGTTTCTGAAATAAAAGATAGCGATGATCGTGATATCCTAAAAGAGCGAGCTATAGACTAGGTCTTTACATAGAAACAAGATAGTCAACGTTATTTATTGAGGATATGATTCAATAAATTGCCCTTAGTTACTCATAATGCCTAGAAATTAATCATGCTAAAGAGTTTGTGTGAAGAGGACGAAATTCTACAGCGTCAATTTAACTTTTTATAAACTACAGAACACATTGTGGACTTAAGATTCGTTTTTGAGAAACTAATATTATACAAAATATTTGTTGACTACACCGATTGATAAAAGATTGCTACGAAATTATCATCATTGTGTGCTTGAATATAATATGAATCGGTTTACGTGTTGTGTTACAGATATTACATTTACGTTATTCTACAGTTATTCAAAGTTTTGATTGATGTTAATTAAAAATATACGTGCGTCTGAATTCAGTTATCAAATAATTACAAAGTTAAGTATTTATTAGTTAGAGAAGTTAATTTGCAAGTTATATATTTATTATATTTGATTTGAATTTAATTATAGTAACTTAATAAAGCTTGTTTTTGTTTAATGTTTAAGTAATAGTTAAATTTAAATAGAATGTTTGAAGGAAGCAAGTTATCTAAGGTAGGTTCGCATAACAAGCATTCTTTAGGTGGGGAACATACCCTCTCGATAATTTACCCCTTTTTGGGGGCAAACTCGGATCTTTTGGGGTTATTCCCGTTGTTCCAATGATCCCAACGTCTGTGCCACGCCTATGGAAGTAATTAAATTAGAAACACAAAGTAATCCAATCTTATAAGAATGTGAAGTGTATACTCGTACCATAGAAAGAATTATAAAATAGAGTGCGTTTCAAACTAAACTGATCCCTTCACCACATTAATAAAGATATGCAACACAATACTGGATTTTATTTTAGTGCTTTTATATATTTAATGCCAACCCAGCTTCTCACGGGGAATTCCTGGATCTCGACAACAGCGCCATCTACCGAGTGGGCCCAATTGTGAATCTAAACCATCCAGAGACCAACTCAAACACACACAAAGAACTTCATCACAATCGGTTGAGCCATTTACGAGTTTTTAAGAGCCTAACGGATAAATTTTTTTTATACATAAAATACGAAAAATGTTTCCGCCTATGATGTTCGTTATAGACTTTGAAACCATATATATTCACATTTGTACCTGATAGATGGCGCTGTTATCAAGATCCAGAAATCATTCGTGCGAAACCGAGGCGGAATGCTAATGTCCCAGATTTATATTCACTATTGGGTTACTAATAACATTTCAATAATATTTTTACAATATTAAGTCTTTCAACTCTGTGTGGACATCGGAATTGATTTTGTAGGTGGGAAGTTTGTAGCAGAAGTAAATTTATTCCATCTATCATAATTATTAATGGGAATCCATCATCAGTATTTAGAGTACAGAAATAAACTTCACGACAAAATTGTATTTTACCAACACAAACCACTTTTATCTACAGTTGGGAAATGTTATGATACCAGCTCTTGGTTATTAAGGTCAGGTCAGTTCGGCTTTTTAACTTTAAGATAGCTAGCTTTATGTACCGAGTTCTTAAGTTTTAGGTCACACCACCATTTAAGGTGTTTTAAAAGCTCAAAATAACTGCGACGTCACACTACAGCAACGTTCGGGACAAATAAATTATTACAGCCTAAGTTCACTATCACAGAAATGTAAATAATAAGACAATATTATTTAGATTTCTGTGTTCACTACTGAACACAGGCCTTCCTTAGATTGCCTCATACGGGAAATGTTTGCCACACTTGCCACGCTTGTCAGGCGGGTTGGCAACATTTTTTTTTAATTTCCCGTTTATTAGGAAGACGTTACAGCCCGTCTTTTGGTTTGTTTCTCTTTGCCCTCTCTTACGAAAGCCACGGAACGGTATAGAGTATAGTGGACATTGTTATTGCATAAGTTAAAGTATTTAAACGTTTAATTATATGTACTCATATTTACTAATACTTAAAATATTAGAAATTCGGGTAAGTGGACAGTCGGACGTGTCCTTCCGAGTAATGCACATATTCTTATACGAACAGCCGTCCGTCTGATATCTAAGTCATAGATTTTCTATTAGCACGCAAAGAAAAAGATGAAATTACTAAAAACTATACAAAGTTGTAAATAGTAAATGCGTACGTAACTCAAGTAACCTTTTCGATAATATAGACAAATTTTAAGGGCTTTAATACTTTGAAAACATTTTTTTTTTCAAAATATTAATAAGCAGGATGCACCATCATCGTGAATTTTAATATTTTGAAAAATGATTTCATAAAATTCTTATTGGACACAAAATTATTAAAACATGCCACTGGACTAAATTAAGCACAATGCCAAAACATTATGCTTAATTTAGTCCTTCCTATATCTAGCTATGAAGGCTATTCAAATGCAAAAAGGTGAAAACTAGTCTAAGGCTTTAAAGTAGCTAATAACTGTTTATTGATTTAACAAAATTAAGCGGGAGTAACTTGCGAACTGGTGGTACACCTTATCTTAATGAAAACTGATACGAGGTGTCGTGAAATGAAAATATGAATCTTCAAATGAACTAATTAATTCGTATTAAGTTTTAAATTTGGCCATTCTCCATTGGCTTCCGTACCTGTTGTTGTGGACGGCCAAGCCGAAACCTTCCGGAGGTGCGGCGATGAAAAGCGGTGGCGCCGGCTCCGCTGTCGCCGCACATAGCCCAGCGCCCGTCGACGCGTTCGACGCCGACGAGCATGACGAGTTTGAGTGGTTTAGAGCTGTAAAAGTACATTTGCAAGGTTGGAATTATAAGTACAAATAATTAGAAGACTAAATCTATATAAATAAAAATCTTAAATCTCCGAAAATTGTTTTGAACCACAGCAATGGGTAGCGAATTACAGCTAGTCTTTTTTTTATTATTCTCAGTCAGCGCTTAGCTACAATCCTACCTGATGGTAAGTGTTATGACCTGATGGTAGGTAAGATGTAGCGTAAGACGGTAAAGCGCACTGACAACATAAATCTATTCACTCTTGCCTTGAAGGCACCCACACTGTAATTGGATGGAAAAACAGATGCTGGCAACTTATTCCACTCTTTTGCTGTACGCAAGGTGAACGAGGTAGCAAACCGTTTGGTTCGAATTGGATGGAGACTGGTCGAACGTCTGGTTGTCTGGTGGAAGGGAGAGGGAGAAATTAAATTATGCAATTCCTGCGCACACTCTCGGTCTATACATATAAATAACATCGATATGTCTATCTGTAATATTATCTATAAGTTGTAGTTATTGACACGCAATTAAAACATAAATAGCGATTTTTAGAATTTTTGCATGACTATCTGTCTGTCTGAGCTAATCTTAGAAATGGCTGAACCGATTATGATGAAATTTTACGAACGAATAGAGAGCAGTGACAGGAGGGATGACATTAATAGATCCTATCCAGGCGAAGCCAGAGCGGATCGCTAGTTATAAAAAATTAATTAAATAAAATCTTGTTAGTCTTGAGCACAGATGCACAATAACCAGCCTCTCGGTGTCTACTGTACGACTGACGAAGAACTAGACTAATCAACACGATCCACTGGCCTTGCGAAGAGACGATGCATACAGGCATCTTACCACGGGAAGTGCTCAAAGGAATTGTTCGGATTATTTCCAGCTGCTGAATTCCACCATCGTACACATGCAACAGAATTCGAAATCCCATCCTCATCATCTCTATGTCTTGCGGTTCACAACTGGGCGATTCACGTGGAATTTTCTGCCTCGCACGACCAAACTGGAATTTACTGTCACCAGCGGTTTCTCCGGACCGATACGACTTAAAGACCTTCAAGAAAAAAGTCTACTCCTTTCTAAAAGGCCGGAAACGCACTTGCGATTCCCCTGGTGTTGTAGAGGATCATGGGCGACGATGATCACTTACCATCCGGTGAGCCGCATGTTCGTTTGCCTCCTTACAATCTCTGGGGGAAGATCCCATTTTCAGCAGCGGACTTTTGATAGGCTGCAACGGTATGTTTTACAGTAGTACAGATGCACAATCACCAGCCTCTCCTTGTCTATTGAATGACTCTGGCCAAGAACTAGATTAATGTATCCTACATCTCGAAGAACGTGCGCAAAATTTTTATTATTTAATCAGCTATTCTATTATTTAACTAAAAATTTTATTACTTAACTAGGACCAACCCATATTTAACAGCAGTACTTGATGCATGACCGGACTTGCACTTTATATAAGCTATAAGCCGCAAGGACACCTAGTTTCCTTCACGTTGTCCACTAGCTTTGTTCACGTCTAGACTTAGCAAGGTTTTAAGAACCTCCTTGTTGGTGATATGTACATTTGACTACCGTCAACAAAAGAGGTACTGCCGTGATGCCTCGTTGGTCTAGTGGTTGTAGTAGTGCGACTGCTGATCGTGAGGTCCTGGGTTCGAATCCCAGGTTGGGCCAAAAAATTAATTAATGAGTTTTTCTGTCAAGAAATTCTCAGTAGTTGCCCGGAGTCAGGAAGTTGGCGGTGTCTCACCCCCGTACCTCGGAAAGCACGTAAAGCCGTTGGTCCTGCGCCTGCTCTCTCTCCGGTCGTGTCGGTTTACCGTCCCATCGGATTATGAGAGTGAGGGAATAGAGAGTGCACCTGTGCTTGCGCAAACACCGATGGCTAGCCTCCGTTTCAGGCCGCCGTGGCCGAAATTCGGTCTGGAGGACATTATTATTATTATTACTGCCGTGAGGAAAATGAAATGTTACGCTGTTGCTACGGTGCGGACACAAATTGCAAGCGAAACGACTCTACCGCTCGACGAAACTCGACCGCTTTGGCGACAGACCAAAAAGATCTACTGCCAGATGGTTTGACCTTGATTCCTTTCTCATCACGCTCGACCAATCGCTTACCATAGCTATCTACATAACACGCGTGCAGTGCCAATGACTTCGTCCTTCATAATGCGTACAGGCAGCATCCATACAATTACAATGTGGGTTTGTTTAAGGCAAAAGTGAAATAGGCTTTTGTTAAACTAATTTAATGTTTTAAACATATTCGTCATCACCACTTACTATTCGGTTGGATGGTAGTCAAACACTGACTTACTTATATAATAGTTAGAACAAGTTAGTAAAAACAAGAACGACGAAAGAAAAAAAAGGCGGAATAGAATAGAGGCACTGACTTGTAATAGTTACAAAAAAAAAACAATTACTTAATTCCGTAGGTTGTTTCAGATACATTTAAGAGATCCGAGGTAGTTAGACGCTGTGTAGGTGCAGCAAAAGAGAATCCACAACCCCGAGGGGACAGAGAGAAATAAAACAGGAGAGGGGCAGCATCATCTTCCTAATAACAACTCAAAATAATAAAAACTGCAGGTGCCGACCTGACTGCCTTCTTCTGCAGCATAAAAGTCCACTGCTTAATTTGGATTGACGGTCACAGGACCAGACGTCGCGTACCTTTGCCTGTTTGTAGACGTGGTGGAGCCATGCTGCAACTATATTAGTGGCATAGTTGTAGCATGAATGGGTCGGCTCCACCGGGGACCGCGGAAGGACCAAGCTCTCACATAGCGTAGCATCTAGCGTAAAATAGCAGCTGAACGCCGCTGTGTTTCGAAGCATTCCATCTTAGTCCAACTTATTCCAGCCAAGTTGACAACGCATCTGCAATTGTGATTCGTAATCGAGGATAGATGTAGATGTCTATGGGCCACAGCAACCACTTACCATCAAGTGGACTGTGTGCTCGTTTGTCAGCCTTATACTACAAAAAAATACACCACACGGCTATCTATCGGTACCCATGAGATTATTGCTCGTATGATACCTCAAACTGAGGTTTTATTAAGTATACTTCCTCAGTAGTGTGACGAGACCTCAGTTTGGCATTATTTCCTAAAGACTATACGTGCTCAGACTAGTCAGTTAAATTTATGTCCGAAAAGTATAAAATGTCATAGTGGTTTAGTACTGGTTTTCACGTCCATTTGAAATCAGCACATCTAATTGACATAAAGTTTGACATAATTATTTCTTATATTTACGCGAACACTACACATTGATTAAAACTACTTTTACGGATTTTATCGCGTTTATTTTACTATTATTTTTAATTCACGACGTCTCGGGCGCTTTCCAGCACCCATGGTCACGGGGGACCCGTGACCACGGGTGCTGGAAAATAAACGCGATAAAATCCGTAAAAGTAGTTTTAATCAATAAAGTTTGACATTATATACCAACTATAAGAAGTATGACGATGATAGTAATCTCAGCCCAAACAAATCATATTTTGAAGACGATATTTAAAATAAGATGTGTTTTGCTTTTTGCGATCATTATTCCCAAAAGATTATCTGATCATTTACCGTCGTAATTTTCGTCAACGTCACGTCTGTAAGAAGTAATGAACCAACGAGGCCTTTTGTTCTCATCCTGTTTGATGATAATGAGTTTGTAGATTTCAGTAAAGATTTATTTCTAAAATATAATCTGTCCCAAAATTATAATTTTATACAAGAATACCGAAAAATATAAAAAAAAGAAATATCGGTACATATTTTCTTTTTCATAATATACCAATAGTCCATGCTCTAATCGTGGCGAACTTTACTACACGTGTAGCACACACCGCACACCACAAGTACACTAATGAAATATAATATATCTTATCAAAGAACGCATTCAGGCATATCAATCACCGTATAATTTAATGACACATTTACACTATCGGCACGAGTAACTTGTCGAGTAACTCGCCGAGTTATTCGTGGACGAGTACGACGCGTTTTCATATTGTTCAATGTAACACTGACACTGACACACTGTACACATAGATGAAATGCGTCTCGTTGCCACGACTTTATGTCTACTTGATATTTATATAATCATAAATATTTACTTGGGGGTGTGGGGTGGTCCTGCAGTGACGACCTAGCAAGACATGCGGGATGGACCGTACTTTGGGTCAGGACCGTACTTTGGGTCAGGACCGTACTTTGGGTCAGGACCGTACTTTGGGTCAGAACCGTTCTTTAGGTCAGGACCGTACTTTGTGGCATTCCTTGGATGAGGCCTATGTTCAGCAGTGGATTTGTGAAGGGCTGTAATGATGATAACAATGATGAAATATTTATTATCATGTCATGTCACTCCTTGATAAAGTTCTATAAAAATAGTATATTGGTAAAATATTTCTTATAAAATATTTTACTAATAAATTTTATAAGAAAAATAAAAAACACCTGCAACAAAGTTCACGAGTCAAGCGAATAACGCCGAGTACGCAAACACCGACACGAATATGCACGAGTATTCCTTTTACTCGGGCCAAAAAATCGATATCGAGTGGCGAGCAGGCGAATACTGGTGCTGAGTAGAGAGAACACCCGAATAAGGCGTTTACATGAAGGCACGAGTACGAGACTCGTGCCTTCTACTCGTCTGTTCTCGACGAGTATGTAAACGTTGCATAATAGTTGATCACATACAGTTAAGGTAATGTATGTATAAGCATATTATTTTACCTAAGTAAATCGGGGATTCGTGTTAAAATTAACGCATCTTAACATAACGTCATTCTTATTAAGATACTACGCTATACCACAGTATAAAGATAGAGAGAGAGTATCTTTAAACTGTGGCTATACTGATGTTAAGATGAAAAGTCCGCAATAAATTTGTATTCAACAGCGGGTGGATTACTCGTCCGACTAATAAATGAATATCGTATATCCTCACCAGGTAGGGGGCGGTGTACGGCGGTGACGTATCTATTGCCCTCCATATAGCCTCTGTCGGGCTCGGCGTTGTGCGCATGGTGACCACTGTGGATCGAGTGCTGGTGAGAGTAGAAGCCGTCCGGCGGGTGCAGGGTCACTCCACCGCTAGACTCCTCCTCGTCCACTTTTTGAGAGAAGCTGCAGACAAAGATAAAATCATGTTAGTTAAGTTGGTAATTAATATGTAAGTAATGAAATAAATTTATCCAACTTCGAAAAAATTAGAGGTCTTTTTTATTGAATGTAACACGATATCTCCGAAGTAAGTTAACCGATTCTACTAAACTCTTTTTTATCAAAAGCGTAGGTACTTTATTTTTATATGTAGTTTTCTCATAATTTTTAAACTAAGGTGTTTGATTGTCTTACCGAACTACTATTTCTATGGCTTACCAATATGTTTTCCGGAGTTGTTTTTATGTTTGAAAAGTGTCTTCATAATACCTAAATTTCTAATATATAGGGTAGTTTTTCAGCGAATTCTTGTTTTGAGCTAGACAAAGATTTTTCTCTTATCTTCAATTCTTAAATTCAGTTATCATTATTTCTAGTCAGTAAAAGAAAACAACCATCGGGGGAGTCATAGTTAACCCAAACATTAACGTAAAGTAAAAGTTAGTAAAGTAACTTATATACGTCCCACTGCTGAGCACAGGCCTCTCCTCATTTCTGAGAGGGTTTTAGGGCAAGGAAGTGTCCGCCGCGCTGCCCCAATGCGTAATGACAAACATCACATATCTTCGAAATATATTTTTTTCCTTACTCCTCAGACATGCAGATTCCACACGATGTTTTCCTTCACCGCCGAGCACGTGGTAAATCAGCACTTAAAATTGCAATTAACAATTTCATTGATGCCAGCGGGGAACGAGCCCGGCTTACTCGCGTTCTGTTACATTTACAGCGAGCGTTATCCATTTGAGCTACCACGGCTCAACATTAACGTAAGTGCTATTAATTGATGAAAACAAGTTATATATATATATATAAAAAAAAAAAAAAAGGTATAAATACAAACGTATACAGACATTAAAGCGAATAGTGCTGGCAGCACAAACAGCCGCGAATGAGGATGAAAACGCACATTACGTCGACATTAACGCATGTCCAGCTTAAGGGGATATAGTAAGTCAGCTCAAATTCTAATTTCGCCCCCACTTCCCCGCGCGTCGTATGCTATGTACCGACATGTTTGTAATCACTAATACTGTAAGTAGATAGGTCGTTAGATACTTACTTCACTAGGTTTATCATATTTATGCCTTTTTCTTAACGCCAACCTAGTCGCTTCTTATTTTTATAACGGTTATTTCCCTTTTTATTTTACGTCGTCCTGTTGCGTAATGTGTATTCTGATCGTAAGCGACACAACCTCCCCCTTCAAAAGCCGGAGCGATACTAACGGGGCGACAGGAATCAAGCTTACGCGCCGATAGTTTAGGTAATTTCTTTTTACAGTTAAAATAATGGTATTTTAAAAAAAGTAAATAACATAACCACTGCTTTATAGTTAGTCCAGTTAGTATGCAAAGTTTCATGATCTTATTTAAAGTATTTTATGAATAACAGCGGTTTATTGTTTATTTTGGAGGTAACTTTGGATTTTTTTCTATCGAGAAAATTTTACGAAATCGTGTTTTCGTCTAACATAATCCTTAACATTAATCCTCAACTTTACCATATATTAATTTCAAAATTAATGCTGCAATATTTTCGGCATAACGAAGGATCTTGCTAAGCCATATGACATTATATTTCCCCTTAAGCACTCACTTACGGTTGCCACGCTGCGGCAATTAATAGAGATAAGCCACATATTATAATTAGTTAGATACTGAACGACATTTGCTACCGACGAATTTTAATGCTTTCACGTCTTTGAATAAATATGATGTACTATGCTAAAAGTTAAATTATTTATATTCATTAATAAATCATTAGATCATGAAATAAGATAATAATAATTAGATTTGTGAGTAGTTGCGACCGTGTTAATTTTTACAAAAATACTGTTCCTTCTTAGTTGTTATCTAGTCGTATTTCCGCTACCTACGACAACCTTACTTCTACTATTATCTCACATTACTGTCATGATAACACCTAATATGTGAACATTGTTACAAGTACATAAGTTGTCTTACAAGTTGTACACGAGACTATTTTCTTCGGCATCACCTTTTTCAAAACATTTTTGACAAAAACTACTACACACCAGGAATATTTATATGACATTATGTTTAAAATATAAAAAAATATAAACACATTTTATCAGTAAAAACACAAACCGCTGTACTACAAAAAGTAGGTTTTAATTAGTAAGGTCTAAACTTGAGTATGATTCATTAAAGGAGTAAATGCCGTGGAAAATCTATATAAATAAAATGATAGAGGTTTGCAGTTGTGCACGCATCACGGAAAAACTACTGGATAGATTTCCATTATGTTTTCTATGTTTTATTTCTTAAGCATTCGGCTCTTATCTAAAAAAAAAATTGTGATATCTTCATTTAATATAAAGTTATTAAAGTTTTAAGAACGCGGATGAAGTCACGGGTATCAGCGAGTAGAAACTAAAATGTAAAATAAGGAATTTGACAGTTTATCAATTTCGCGAAGACTGTGGCGCCGCGGGTAAAGGACTTTTTTCGTGAAAAAGCCTTCCTTCTTTCTTCTTAAAGCATAGTTTAAGCGCGAGACCATCAGTTAACCATGTTTTGTAATAAGAGAGGACTTTAGGTATTTATATGTTGTGTATCCTCTGAAAATGCACTCAAGTTTAAGGGGAAATATAACCTCAAATGGCTTAGCAAGATCCTCCGTTATGCCTATATTGCAGCATTAATTTTGAAATAAATATATGGTAAAGTTGAGGATTAATGTTAAGGACTATGTTAGACGAAAACACGATTCCGTAAAATTTTCTCGATAGAAAAAAAAATCAAAAGTTACCTCCAAAATAAACAATAAACCGCTGTTATTCATAAAATACTTTTAATAAGATCATGAAACTTTGCATAATAACTGAACTACCTATAAAGCAGTGCTTATGTTATTTACTTTTTTTTACCATTATTTTCACTGTAAAAAGAAATTACCAAAACTATCGGCGTCATGAAGCTTGATTCCTGCCGCCCGGTCAGTTTCGCTTCGGCCTTTGAAGGGGGAGGTTGTGTCGCTTTCGATCAGAATACACATTATGCAACAGGACGACGTAAAATTAAAATGGGAAATAACCGTAATAAAAATAAGAAGCGACTGGGTTGGCGTTCAGAAACAGGCATAAATATGATAAACCTAATGAAGTAAGTATCTAACGACCTATCTACTTACAGTATTAGTGATTACAAACATGTCGGTACATATCATACGACGCGCGGGGAAGTGGGGGCGAATTTAGAATTTGAGGTGACTTACTGTATCCCCTTAATATTAAAAATCACTGCCCAAGTCTAGCTTCGATTTATTTATAAGCGTTACCACGGATTAAATAATATTAGCGTTGCATACGGAAAAGGGGGAGTAGGGCGGAAGTGCCTTGCGTGTATATAATGTGTATAAACACATTTGTACAATAGAATTCGAAAGCGGTCGTCTTTGACCTAAGGAAAGTATATTTTATTAAAAAAAAAAACAATTTTTACTAAAGAATATTAAAGAAAAGATATGTGAATGAAGTCTACCTTACAAAGAAATTATTTTTACAGAAGTAAACTTAAGATATGAGCCCACTGTGGTGGGGCCCACACTCCCTTCGGAATTCCGGGTTAGGAATGTCTTGTTATCCGTAAAATGGGGGTCCGGTTCTTGTCATTCAGCATATGAAACATATTTTACATTGATATTCTGTGCAAAAATCTCCCAGTCGAGCCGATACCTTCGTGCGGCAGCCGAGGCCTTATCACGTATATTATTTCTTGTTTACGAATATTTGTGTCCTTTAAAACGTTGCGATTTGGTGATCATACATAAAGCTGCGGGGAAAGCGGACGGCATTAAGGAAGTGTTTTTAAGGCAAGAAACCTTTTAGTTTTAACGAGTACGTACAAAATGTTATATGTTCGTAGACTGCACTACCTGGTTGATTGGTAATTAATTTAAAAAAAACTTGTCGTACCTAGTGAATGTCTGTATTGAAAATACGACTTCATAATATGTTTTATAATATATACTGCGTTATATAATTAAAATTGTATACTATATAAGTACAATTCCTACAGTAAATAATATATTTATTTAATGTAAAAACAACATTTCTTTATTGTAAAAAATTAAACAATAAAAAAATCCAGCTACCCATGCTGCATAAACAACCCAGTGGCAAAACACGGCTCTGTAATTTTACTACATAATTAAATAACTGCCCCCACGATACAGGAGAAAATCCTAGTGTAGGGGGAACGTTTTAAAAAAAATCCCTTTGTACAAAACTCTCTGTTTTTGTATCGTGACACCCAGGTCGAGAGACAGTGAAATTATATGATTAATTTATTTTAAATAAGATTCGAATCTAGGACCCACTAGCAATTACAATGTCAAATGATAGACCGTAAACATTATCATAAAATAACTTATTGATAATTGATTGATTATGTCAGTAGGATGAAATATTAGGTACTTTACATAAGTGTGACTGTTGACTCCGTAATATGACAAAAATAACACCGACTACAATAAAACATTAAATTACACGCATCAAGTCACTGTATAAAGACTTAGGTACATTCGCAATACTTACAAAATCTTCCGGACATCGACCCGAAGTACTCGGTTCATTATATTATCACCTTATTACGTAAGGTGATGGAAACCATGCCATTTATTTATATGCAAATTAATGTTGTACATGTCTTTCCATTAGCGATACGCGCTCCGTATCAAGTTGATACGACATTCATAAACCTGTATCGTGGTAACAATTGATTGCACTATAGTCGAATTACTTAATAATTAAATACAAGTCTGTTATTTCAAGCCCACCTCAAAATTTACATTTAGGATGCGACTATGGGTCATACCAGAAAGATCTTAAAAAATAAAAAGATCTTATGTCTTCAGATAAAGCGAGTCACAGACTACGCAGATACGATATTTTATCTGCATATAGAAACTTAATTATCTGAAAGTATTACACACTACGC